GTATTAAATGACATACGCGAGTCGAAAGTGACTCCTAAGTATTTGACCTTTTTCTCCCAGAGGAGCGGTTGGCCATAAAGGAATATTTGCCCCACCTAGCATGAGCTCCTAAATCAATCATCATGTATATCACTGACGGTCAGTTCAATAGCTATTCGTAGACAAATAATTTCTGTGACAGAACATGAGCATGGCTATAAGCACTATTAAATCCTTAATGATGAAGAATAAGCGAACAAGATGGTTTAACTTCCAGCTTTGGATGTAGAGATCCACGTCTGAGTGAGAGTGAGGTAATAATTAATTTTTGGATGAGATGATACGACCAAAAATACCACTTATATCAAATTGTTTCTGCAGACCTATAATAATAAGTAACATAATAATAAAAATATTTAAAACAGCTGAATTCTTCGATTCGCCATGTTATTAAAAATGCGAAGAACTTCGTTCAGATCAACTGATTATGTCCTTTTTTTTCCAAAGGCCAGTAATACCATACCAGCCATTCTCTCGTGACCCATTAACAGCCTTTGAGGTCTATTGATTGCAGTTAAAGTTGAAAACGTAGATTCGCACACTGCAGTGCTACATCCTATGGTCGCCACAGATGCAAAAAGTTCATATGTATCTTTAAACGCCTCTCGTTGCCTGTACAACACTTGCAATGTATTTTCCATTTTACACAACAACTCAAGTAAACTTTAACCACACTAGGCTAGTGTGGTTAAAGTTGAATTATAAAATTTTTTAAACTTACCCAAACTTTTCAGTGGAAGCTACTAGTTTTATTTACATCCAACTCATCGGGACTTGCAATCGAATTATTTAGATCATCATCATTCAAATGCCTATTTTATTATTATTTTATCCTTTAAACGAGCAATTCTTGTATATATACAGCGTGTCGTTACCATCGGGACAATAAATGAAGACACATATAGGGGATAATCTTTTAAAGTCGTATTAAACATTTAAATTCTTTAAACATCAATATTTACAGAGTTATTAAATTTTACAAAACAAAGAATTTTAGAACATCCTTACCTATAAAAGGTCACAAAGCATATGAATGGGTTGAATGAATTTAAAAGAGACAAAACATACTGTTATAAGGAGAGGCTTGTAATACGACGCTGTGGCGCAAGTTGTATAGGATGTTACAAATTTTGTTTCTGTTTTACTTAATTAGTTTTTCGAAATATATTTTTTTTAATTATGGATTTTGTTTAACGTTAATATTTTTTTATGATTATTGGCAAGTAGCGTTAGACGTGTGTTCATTTATTGTCGCGATGGTAACGACACGCTGTATATATATATATATATATATATATATATATAATCGGAATCTCGGAAACGACTCCAGGTGGCGAAGCATCGATCTAGCTGTTTCATTTTTAGAAAATGTCCTTTTATCCCTGTTTTCAGGGAATGAAAAATATCATCGTTGCTTTCCAAAATACATTATTTATCAAAAAAAAACGAGCAAAGCTCGGTCCTCCAGGTAGTTTTTTATACGAGTATACAGAACAAAGAATTATTAGAATACGAAATGAATGTCACACACTGGTAATGAGTTGATCGCACCCAAGCTATTTCTAAAAGAAAGAAAAAAAACAATTGTATAATATTTTAATTTTTTAAGAAAAAAATTACGAATAAGAGGATACCTGCGGAGTTTCTTTCTCCTGTTTCTTCTCCGTTAGAGGAACCTCATGATGAAACGGTGGTAGATTAAAAAAATACTATCGATAGATGAAATTTATGTTTCCTAGGTCCATAAATAAATTATTTTGATTTTGACAAACTACTACAACTTTTATTACAATAATGTATCTTAGTTTTTGAATGAATAAATGAATGAATACTTTATTGTCCACCACACAAAAGAGGATACACAAAATTAACAATAGACAAACAAATTAATGGAATTCGCATGCGTATCACTTCATAGCGATCTCTTCCAGGCAACCAATGACGTAAAGGAACTTTCCTACGTAGGTTGTGCAATAGTATAGTATATAATGCAGTAGTAGAGTTTAACAGCCTGTACGGTAAAAGATTTTTCAAAAAATTATGTTTTGTGGTTTGGCACCTTTTAAATGAGCTTCCTCGAAGAAGGTAGGATCTTCCCCTAGAAGCCCTACATATTCAAATTTCTCCTTTAAATAAAGTGAAGTAGAAACATGAAATAGAACACAGTAGGAACAACATAGAAAGAATATACAAATTACGGCGAAGTAGGATGGGAAATCACTTGAGACGTGTACGAAATTGAAAAACGTGGTCATATTTACGCATTTTTATTTTGGTATTTTTAAGGTAGGGCATTGTGATTTTAAGGTAGGGCATTGCCCTACAATGCCCCCCCTTAGCTACAGCCGTGGGCGAACTGCCAGGCAGGATAGTGAATGGGCCCCTATAAGGCAGTACCCAGAACGCATCATTCACACTTCTTAATTCTTATTGTGTTATAAGTACTGTTTTTAAAATACATAACAAATTAGTTTAATATTTCTTACAATATTTGTGACAATGAATTACAGCTTTAGTTAAGTCTTTATGAAAAATAAATTAAATATCGGATCTTAATTTACATTTCAATGTTGCCATATTTCCAAGATATAATGTTGCTATGCACGGATGCGGGTGTCGCACTTGTCAAGCATATTTATAACGCCTGGGAAAGGTCACAAGATGCAATGGGTGTCTTTTGCGACCTTTCAAAGGCTTTCGACTGTGTAGACCACGGAACCCTCCTTCAAAAGTTAGATTATTATGGCATTCGTGACATCGCCCTCAATCTCATTGCCTCTTACCTTAGTAATAGAATTCAAAAAGTATCTATAAATGATGTAAATTCCGCAGGGTCCCCCATGAAAATGGGTGTCCCACAAGGATCAATCTTGGGTCCATTATTATTCTTAGTGTATATAAATGATCTCCCCTTTTATGCCAGTGAGTTATGTGATGTTGTACTGTTTGCTGACGACACATCGCTCATTTTTAAGGTTGACCGAAACGTGTCGGATTATGACGACGTGAATAGTGCACTTTCGCGTATCCTCCACTGGTTTACCGTTAATAATATGGTGTTAAATGCTAAAAAAACTCAATGCCTTCTTTTTACCCTTCCCAGCGTAAGAAGGCGAAGTTTTAGTTTAACATTAAATAGCGTAACCCTTTATCCTGTTGCGTCCGCTGTATTCTTGGGAATTACAGTGGATTCAAAGATCCAATGGAGTCTCCATCTATCATCTCTTGCGAACAAGTTAAGCTCCGCTGTTTTTGCAATTAGGAAGGTTAGGCAGCTATCAGACATCGACACTGCCAGACTTGTTTATTTCAGTTATTTCCACAGCATCTTGTCGTACGGCAATTTTTTGTGGGGTAGTGCATCTGATATAAATTCTATATTTATTCTTCAAAAAAGAGCTGTCCGAGCAATCTATAACATCGGAGCCCGGAATACACTCAGAGACCTTTTGAAAGAGATTAATATACTCACTGTTGCGTCTCAATATATTTATTGTAATATTTTGTATGTTAAAAATAATATTAATAGTTATCTAGAGAATAGTGACAGACATAAGCTAAATACTAGAAATAAGGACAAACTAACTACGCCATTGTTTCGTCTACAAAAAGTAAACAGGTCGTTCATGGGGCAAGGTGTGCGCATGTATAATAAAATCCCACAGTCGATATTAAGTCTGCCATTTGATGAATTTAAACGAAAAATTAAAAGTAAACTTATGGCTAAAGCCTTTATTCTATTGCCGAATATCTTGACGACGCCAATGTGTGGGGTTAATGCTGTTGATACTCACGTAGGCTAAAACAAGACTATTGTACATGTACTATTATATTGTAAACTGATTTTTTTAAAAAGAGCAACTGTTGACATATCAACCGGCAGCCGTTGTTCCCATATAAAGCAATAACTTTTTCGCAAGCGAAATATTAAAACTTTTGAATGCTAAAACAACTTAACTATTAAAAATATTGTAGCATTAGCCTTCCCGATCATTTATATGTATAAAAGTATATAAATATCTACTGAAGACATATTTTATTAAGTCAACAATCACTTCACACGTAACGCACTTATAGTAATGTTAGCCTATTTATGCGTTTATATTTTATAGTGACTAGAAAATTAGTTTTTTATATTATTATAATATTTTCGATTAATTATAAATTTATGTTCGATAAAACTTTTACAACATAATAATAATAATAAATAATAAAATATCTTTATTCACATAGAAATGTGTGTCTATTTTGACCCAAATCTGTGTAAAAATGAAAGAATAGTTCATAATTAGTGTATAAATATACGTTTTTTGCTATAAAATCAAGTGTTTTCAATACGAATCAATTACTTGAACAATTGTGTTCAATACTGCGCGCCTGTTGTTGTCCATGGACTTTGACAACAGCGGCGGATACCGGATACCATGACAACATCGCGGGTTGGGGCGCAATAGGGACTCTATCATGGTCTTTTCTAGAGATGCGCAAAACAGTGCAAAAATATCAAAAAAAAAAACAAAAAATATTAAATGTATGGACTGAAAAGAGTCTTTTCAGTCCATTGTATGGAGCTTGCTCATTCCGTTTAGTTCCATCAGTCAAAAACAGACAACGTTGTTTTAAATGCAAAACCATTTTAAATAGGGTACCATTAAATTAAAAACAAAATTTTGTTTTAATTTAAAAAAAATATGTATATATAAACAAATTACAAATGTATGGAACTGAATCTATATATACGTGTATCATCTATGGTATGGACTGAAAAGAAAAACCGTGGATGACTCTTAATCTGTAAGAATAATGTACCCTTTGTTGGACTCTATGGTTATGCGTAACCTAACCTACTTAACCTTTAAAAATATTCAGATTCACTATTAGTTTCGAGTTTCGAAACATTAGATAATGAGAATTCAATTATAGACGTGTATTTAATTATTTTATCTTAAAAATATTATAATATGTTGGGTATAAAATCGATTTTAAATATAGCTTTCACGGAAGCAGCTAACTCTTTCAATCAACAAACTAGAGTGAGTTTGTTATTTAATAATACTGTGGTCAGTTAAGAATATCTTTTTAATAATTTACTTAATTTGCAGAACACATTTATTTTAAGACGAAAATGGCCACCGCCATTGCATAAAAAAGGTGGCCGACCTTCAAAATTAAGAGCCAGACACTTTGTTTATGACTTAGTGGAAGATACGAATGTTGTGAAAAAACCTGACATAAAAATAATATTAAATCAATTTGTTGATGGTAAGCTGTTTTTCATGTTGTTCTTTAAAAAATAATAATAAAAGCAGCCATCAAGTTGGGCTCACTCTGGTATTAGCGTTGCGCTAAATATATCATTAAAAAGAAAGACATGGTACCATATCTTTTCATATACATTGACATATCAGTAGCTCACAAATAATATAGGCATATTAGAATTTTTTGTGACTGAACATGTAACCAAAGAAAGTGAAATTGTATCCATAGGAATCCATCCCAATGAAATGCAATATGTTAGTATGCTAAGAAAAAACTCCATCATACGTAAATTAAATTCAATAAGATTGTTGCATTAACTGTTGGAAAATAAACATTATTTAGAATTTTTACAAAACCGAACGAAAACATTTATACCATTGTAAATGATTGTGATATATATATTACATTGTTTATCTCCTCTTTCTATTGTCTATCTATTCTCGAGCTACTGAGTTGAATGGTGTGTCCATTGCTTAGTACATGACAGGACATACATGACATATGTAAAGAAGGAAAATTAACCATATGTCCTAAGAACTAAAGATTTAGTTTTGAAATGCAGTGAGCTGCAAATATTTTAGCTCTTTAGCAGAGATATCTAACTAATACCTTTAAATGAGCAATTCTTATAATATATAAACTGATTCTCAGAAACGGCTTTAACAATTTTTGTGAAGTTTAGTATGCAGGTTTCAGTGGCGATAAATCAATTCAGCTAGGTTTCATTTTTAGAAAACATAGTTTTAACCATGTTTTCAGGCAATGAATATCATTTAAATATGAAAAACTTACCTTCATCATCTACAAGGTTATAACAGTACAGAAATAAGTTTTTTTAAGACCCTAGTGCAATCCTACATGATTTTTTTATTTTTTCCCTTTTATTTTCATGTTCCTTCTTTTGTGAGAAAAAAAAATCAGTTCATCCAGATACTAGCTATATCTTAAAACAATTAAAGATTGACGGACACAATTTATAAAGTATACCATTAATAAAATGTCTCAAATCCATTATTCACTGACAGCTTTAATATAGTTTAAATTCATATTTTTAAACTGGAACTTTTTAAAGTATACCTATATAAAAAATGTATCTTAAAATGTTATAAAGTTGTGGGTGTATTCATTAATAAACATTTCTTTAATATTATTTGTTTACATATAGGTGTTGGAGACACAGGGGACATGTTAAGTGTCAGACCAACTAAGGCTTATAGGGAGTTCCTGATTCCAGGTTTGGCTGTTTATGCCAGTCCAGCAAACATTGAAAAGTATAAGGTTGATGAGAGCAAGCCAAAGGCTGAAAGCACTTTCAGTTCTCCTTATGTACCTCGGGTAAATGAACTTTTTTATTGCTGTATATTTTATAATCTATATGATAATTGCAATGGCTGGAGTTTGCAAGCTGGAAATCATTACATCCAAAAAAAGAGAGTTATTAAATTTTCCAAAACAAACAATTTTCGAACACCCTAAGGTATAAAACTGTAACATAAAGTTCATTTGTAAAGGTAACAAAGCATGTGAATGGGTTGAATGAATTTTAAAGAGATAAAACATACTGTTAGAAGGAGAGACTTGTAACGCATTGTTGTGGCAACAACTGAAAAAGTCTCTGAATGTGTGATTCGGTCAGTTATAGCTGTATAGGATGTTACAAATGTTGTTTCTTTTTTATTTGATTAATTTGTTTGAAAATATTTTTTTATGATTATTGGCAAGTAGCGTTAGACGTGTGTTCATTTATTGTCGCGGCTGTATCGACACGCTGTGTAAAAATATAAAGATGGACCAACTTGTTGTCAACTAGTCAAGGAAGCCAACTTGCTGGCTACTTTATTCCCAAAGACTTCTTGAAAATGTTCTAAATGGTCCCCTAATAAATACATCCTGAATTTACAATTTATGAATATTAAATTACACCTATTAATCTTTGTAATATTGTTACATGTTCTTTAGTGGTTTTACTAGTTGATGCTAGATGGCGCTAGTTTCTTTGTGTGTTCATAACACTACTCCCCTCTTAGTAATGCTCGTCCCAAGCATCATTGTTACTGCCATGGTAACGCGCCAGACGGTCTATGTGTACCACTTTGAATGTCCCTCTTGGTTGTTTTTGAATCCTATAGGTCACATCATTTAGTCGGGTAACCACTTTGTATAGAACGTCCCACTTGGTCTGCAACTTTGGAGATTTCCCTTTTCGGTGAGTTGGGTTATGTAGCCACACCAGTGACCCTTCCTCGAAGCCGTTCGTGTTCGATTTCCGGTCGTATCTGGTTTTCATGTTCTCACTTGACTGTAACCCATTTTCCCGAACCAAGGCGTGTATATAGCGCATTTTTTCCCTTAAATTGCAGACATAGTCTTGTACGGTCTCTGGTCCCTCCGGTGACCCTCCGGTCAATAGGTCTACCGGAATTCGAAGTTCTCTACCGTAGTTCACATATGCCGGGGTAGCTCTTATGCTCTCATGCTCGGCGGTTCGATAAGACAGAAGGAAGAGTGGTATATACTTGTGCCAATTCTTTTTTTTGTCGTCTACCAATTTCGCCAAATGCCTCTCAAGGGTCTGGTTAAATCTCTCAACCATTCCATCAGACTGTGCGTGGCACGCGGTGGTCCTCGTCTTATGCATGCCCAAAATTCTGCACACTTCCTGGAATACTTGCGATTCGAAGTTCCTGCCCTGATCTCCATAGGGTCAGTAACTCGTTCATGGGACGGTGTATACGCTTCTACAACAAAATCCCAGTTAATGTGCAAAGCCTATCTATTAACAGGTTTAAGATATTTATTAAAGAAAAACTTTTTAAAAAGGGTTATTATAATATAAATGAATACATTAACGATAATAACCCCTGGGAATGAGATGATCACTCCAAAGCTATTTCTAAAAAAAAAATATATATACTGTATAACCATGTATTTGTTGAGTAAAAAAAAATTACAAAAAAGAGGATACCTACGGAGTTTCTTTCGCCTGTTTCTTCTCCGTTAGAGGAACCTCATTACGAAACGGTGGTAGATTTTAAAAAATGACTATCGATAAATGAAATTTCTTATTTCGATGAATAAATGATTTGGATTTGGATCGGAATGGATTTCTAGAGGCACACCAAAGCCACATATCACTTCTTCGACTAACTTAGAAGCGACTGTTGTAGCTTCTTGGTTTGGTATGGCGAACACTTCGGGCCATTCGGTGAAGTAGTCCATGACGACCATAAAATACTTGTTTCCCGATTTCGTTACAGTACATCATCTCGACAATGCAGCCAGTAAAATCGTTCTCGCACTTTTGTTAACGTCCTCTTGACACCTAGACGACCTCCTGATACGCCATCATGTATTTCACGGAGAACATCTGGTACTCTCGTTCTTGGGACAGTTATCTGAAGATGGAACTCTCTGCCGTTAGTCTTCTCCCATTTTCGTTAGAGTATTCCGTTTTGAAGTATTAGACTGTCCCATTGCGCCCAGTACGCCTTAGTGACAGCGCCAGTGGGTGCAACCTCACTCCAAATTGGTTTTACGTCACCCCGTTTCTTCCATGTGATGATGTGCCGAAGGTCATCTCTTTCTTGAGCCTCCCTCATAGCATCATTCCCCCAGAGACCCAAAGGACTTGTTCTTGTTAGCTTTAATGTTACTTCATTAGATTCCTGCTTAACAATGTTTGCAGTCTTCCGAACACGGCCTTCGTGAGAGTGCATCGGCATTCCAATGCGTCATTCCGCTGCGGTGTTCCGTCTTGAAGTCATACTTCTGGAGCTGTTCAATCCATCGAGCTACTTGATCAGTTCGCAGTAAAAACTGTCTGCCGATGAGATATTTGTCGAAATGTCGTAGTGTCTTTACAACAGCCAAGAGTTCTCTTCTTGTCACACAGTAGTTTCTCTCTGGCTTCGATAAAGATTTGCTGAAATATGCAATAACAACTTCTCTTTCACCCTGTTTTTGAGATAACCCACCGTCGACTATAAACTCACCTTCAGATTGTGGATACCCCAGGATTGGTGTTTCACACAGATTCTGAAAAGAATCTTCACAAGTCCCATCCCAACTAAATTGTTGTTTATCTGCTGTCAGTCGATGTAATGGCTTGGCTATCTCTGAGAATCCTTTAACAAAACGTCTGTAGTATGAGCATTTTGTCCACTTGTCCTCGGTTTTGTCCTTAGGGGTAGGCCATTTTTGAACTGCTTCCAGTTTCTCCGGGTCTGTCTGGATTCCATCACTGGAGATAACATGGCCGAGATAATTGACCTTACTCGTGAATAAATGACACTTTTTCGGGTGCAACTTTAATTTGGCTCCTTGTATTTTGGTGAAAACTCGCTCCAAGTTTTGCAAATGGTCCTCAAAGTCACGGCCGACAATGATGACTTCATCTAAGTAGACCAAGCAAGCTTCTCCAACTAAGCCTGCCAGTACACACTCCATGAGTCGCTCAAATGTGGCAGGTGCGTTGCACAATCCGAAGGGCATGACGTTAAATTGCCATAAACCCTTACCGGTCAAGAAAGCTGTCTTCTCCTAGTCTTTTGGATGAATTTCCACCTGCCAGTATCCAGATTTCAGATCTAGGGTCGAGAACCATTTCATGCCACTCAAGGTATCCAAAGTGTCGTCGATTCGAGGTAACGGGTAACTGTCCTTATTAGTGACATCATTGAGACGCCTATTGTCTACACATAATCTCGTGCTACCATCTTTCTTCTTCACTAACACAACAGTTGAGCACCACGGACTTGTAGACGGTTCAATGATCTTATTCCTTCTCATGTCCTCCAAAAGGCCTTCGACTTCTTTTTCCTTTGCAATGGGTATCCGTCTTGCTCGTTGACGAATTGGCCTCTCGCTTCCGGTATGTATCCTGTGCTGAACCATCGACGTTCTTCCAAGGTCCCCTTCTTGACTGGAGAAGATATTCGCGTAGCGCTATTAAAGTTGCCTAGCTTTCATGCCCAATAAGTCAGATTACTATTGCAGTCATCGAGTAGCTCAGTTACTAATCCGTAGTTGTTGCTGTTTGCTGGGTCTGCGCCTGTCGTTGAACTACACATTTTCATCCAGACAACTTCCTCGCACTTTCCAATGACGTCACCTTTGTTCAAGCAGACCTCGCGATCACCAAGATTTAAAACCTTGACCACAGCGTGGCTGTTTCCACTAACAAGGGTTCTCGCCATCATCAGTTTTTGCGCCGATGTCTTGGTAGGTGTGTCGTGCTTCGATAAACACGCATCTGTTTGACTTTTTCTTCCCAACTGGCGGCAGTTTCACCAGCACCCGAGCTTCCGCTCGTCCAGGTATAATGACTTTCTTTACACATGCGACTTTCCCGCAGGCGCCTCCAAGAATGAAGATTTCTTCTTCACCACACTTTAAAACTCCGTCAGCGACAATAACTCTGCAGTTGTGTTTCTTCTTGAAATCCAAACCCAAGATGCAATCATCCATAATCTCAGCCACGATGACGTTATGAGAGTATGAGGACACTCCTACATACATCGTGACTGACATTTCTCCCAGGACGGGTATTGGCTGAACGGAGGCAGTAAGAAGCCGGCAGTTAATTCTGCTCTTGAGTCCCCTTGCGGCTTTTATCAGATTTGGGTCATTTTGCAATCCGTCCCGTTAATAGTCCCCTGAATCACAAGACTATTCCCGCTGCATGCCTGGGAGATAACAGTTATCGGGGCTTCCTCCGCGTCAGCCAGTACTCGCCCCTTAGTACTTACTGGCTTTTATTAGTTTCCCACAGGGGCAGGGGACGAAGCCTCTCGCATCTTCAGCTCCGCTATTTGTTCCTCGATCCATTTCATCCTTGCCATCTCCTTCTGCGGGCAGTTGAGCTGAAGATGGCCCCTCTCTCGTAGCACTTGTAGCACGTAGCTCAAGAACTTCTCTTCGTAGGAGCCTTAACCTCCTCGACTTCCTCAGAGACCTCGCGGATCTTATGTTTCTGCCGCACGTCATAGCGAATAGCCTCTACCTCCAAAGCGTGCGCCAATGCCTCCTTTAGCGAGGTATGGTGACGTAGCCTCACTACAGCTCTGACCTCCAGGTCTTTGATTCTGTCCACAAATGCTTGAACAATATTCATGTCTACCATCTTGGTGTCGGCTCCTGGGTGTGCCTTCCTGATGAGTTTTTGAATTTCCAACGCCCATTGTTGTAGTCCTTCTCCTTAGCGTTGGACTCGGTCACGCAGTTGGGCACGGAACACGTGCTTCAGGTGTCGCTCCCCGTATCTGGATTCAAGTGCCTCCATCAGGTCTTGGAACCCATTCCCTGTATGTGGCAGTGCTTCCAGGACCGACAAAGCT